TTTTTTTTTTTTTTTTTGTGGGGGGGGGGGGTGTCGAATGTTTTATTGTTCTTGGATTTTGGAGCATGTTTGTTACTGAGAGTTTTTATTTTATTTTAGTGTCATATTCTGTGAATACTTATTATTGTTGGCTTCTGTTTTGTGATCTCTATTGGGAAGTGAAAGCTTGTGCAATTGGTCAAGGTGCTTACAATTTAAAACATGACTAATGCCTGAGTAAGTTGTGTTGGTTTTGCTAGGGTTAGACTAAAGTTTGGGCATGTGTGTGCTGTGCATCTTCTGTTTGTAAGCTTTACTTCCCCTTTTAACATTACTACATTTTAAGTGGGCTGTGGGGGAATTGCCTTCTTAGTTCTTATCTCTCACTTAATTTCAGTTGAGTGTTCCACATCTAATTGCTAGCACCGTATTGTGTGTATAGTCCATACTCTGTAAATAAAAGCAAGGTAGACGTGTGTAATTCTTTAAAAATAATGGGTGTCAATGTCAAATGATCTTGGAATCATTTGCATGCTGGTACAGCTGGGTTCAATTTTTCATTGTAGTATACTACTAAATAATTGATAGTTATATATCAACCACTGTTCTGAAACTTGTTCAGTTTATTTGGCTATTGGAAAGTTCCACTCCTTTTTACATTATTAAATTTTCAAAAGCCTTTACCTAATCCGTGATTGCTTAGATTGGTTGGTTACATTAGTCTCTTGGAACTTTTCTTGTCATCTCTTACACTGAATGGCACTTTAGGGCAAAGGGGATTAAACACCATCTCTTTGATTGTCGTGGTTTATGTTGATAGTAGATTGCCTAGTTCTGCATGATTCCATACTTCATTTTGTCGATAACTTGAACTACAGAAGCGTTGCAATTAGAAAATTCAGATAACAGTTGTCATTTGATGTTGGATCTGGTTTTGCGCATTGCGTCTGGCTGACAGCTTGTGATGTTTGACCAACTTGAGTTTCTCACGTTGGAATAACGTTTCTTTTAAGAAGTCAATTTGTATTTTATCCTTTTTTTTTTTATAAATTTAATTAGCGCTCAAGAGGAGAGCCAAGAGACTCATAGTGGGTCTTACAATAAGTGTAGTTTATGTACATTTTTGTCTTAGTATGTATATTTTCGACCATAATTTTTCGTTTGATACACCTAAATCATTTTTTTGTCATCTGTTCCTCGTCAATCAAATTCGTAATATTAAATTGGTACTCATCACACTGAACCTTGCGCATTGATTCTCACTTCTCATAAAACTTGGTATTAGGAACGTTGAAATCTTGAATTTTCTTTTCGGGCCATTTGAGGCTGAGACACTACTTGTTGCATCTCATTTTATTTTTAATATAACAATGTATACATCTTAAGAAAATAAATTGTCATACTAATTGTGAAGATAAAATAATTTTATTTTATCACATATCTTGAGAGTATTATTTAAAAAAAAAATTGATAGTCTCAATATTCGAGACAGATAATTTGAAAATTGAAACGGAGAAATATTCTAAATCTGACAAATAAATGAAATAAGAAACCAGTTATTAAATCAATGGTACTGTAACTGATAAAGAAAAGTAATGATATTGTTAAAATAAAATTAAAAAAAAAGTAATGAGATCTACGGCAATAGATAAAAATGATACATTCAGGTTAATTGTTTTTTTTTTTCTGTACTTTATTGAGATTATTTTACTTTTAAATTATATATTACAAACATATCAATTGTTGTTGTTTCTTTTCTAATTTATTTTTTTACAACCTTTTCTCTGACTGTCACTCACAGTTTCTCATTGATGGTTACTTCTATTTTCACTAGTCATGTATCATCTTTGCATTAGTTTTCTCTTTCATACTTCTAATTAACTTTTTTTTTTTTAATTTTAAAAATATAAAGGTATAGAGTATTTTTTTTCCACCTAGTATCTTATAAATTTTCCATATACTTTGTAAAAAGTTTCTAAATAAAAAAGTACTTAATATTTTAGAAAGAGAAAAAAGATATTTATCACACAAATCAAGTAATAGCATTAATGACACTCAATCTGACAAGTTGATGGGTTACATTTGGTTAGATTAATTGGGTTGTATAATCTCACCCAACCTATTTAGATGTACTTAATGGATCGATCCATATGACATGTCTGAATATAGTCCAATAGATCATTAAATGTTATTATATCTTATATTGACAGTTAGGAATCTTCCTTCAATTAATCTTTACATTTGATAATATAATCATGCATTTTCTTCTTGTTCTAAGCCTTAATGATGATCAAGTTATACATAATCGTTTTGCTGATAAAAGGAAGAATTAGGTTATTTGGATCAATAATGAAATATTAATTTTAATTATAATTAATTTTTAAAATACATATAATTGAATAGACTTTTAAAAAGTGCTAAACAAATTTAAAAATTAATTTAACTAAGAAATAGTACCAATACATTGAAATGTTCAATACTCTAGTACTCCTAAGTCCTAACCCATTCACCATAATGAATGAAGAAAGTCAAGAAACAACGCAAAAGCAACTTAACCCATATAATAGTAAATCTATTTGACCTTGTCACTCTTTGGTACCCATATTGAAGCCACAGTCAAAGGCCTTGACTTCCAACACAAGGCCAACCCGCCCTTCTTAGATTGCACCCAATACCCTCCACCAAAGAGGCTCACCAAGAACTTGGCTTGTGAAACATTACATGTACTCATAGGAACACATTTAAACCCTTTCATGGAATAAAGCACTTCCTCCCACACCTTTCTCTCCTTTCTCTCACAAGGAAATTGCCTCACGCTATCCAAGATTCTTAACCCCAAAACCTCATTTTCTATTAGCCTCAACTCCATCTTATGCCTACCCCTTAAACCACTAGCAAGTGAATCACAAAGTGCAGTGTAGTGATGCAAAGCCTCACAGAAGAACTCCACAAATGACATGGATTTAAGCCTAGAAAAATTAAATAATTCTTCTTCCACTAAAACAACAAGCCTTGGGGACAATTTGCTAACACCATCTAAGAAAATTTTGACCAATGAGAAGCTCCTATTAGGCATCCACTGGTGTATCATACAATTGACTATAACTGTTTCACCAAGTTCAACTCCTTGAAAATCTTCTTCCCTTGCCATCACTATCTGATCAAACATGAATTCAAAGTTGATAGAAGCTGCAAACTCTTTAAGCCTTCTTCCTGTTTGTTGAATAGAAGCAACACTTCTTTGGTCCACCGTGATGGCTGTTACTCTAAGGGAAGTAGCAATCTTCCTCATTGCAAGGTCAACCATCAAGGGTGGCCATTGAATCCCCTCCATGATGTCAAAATCAATGATGTGAACATGGTCAACACCTTCTGTGGCTTCCAAGATTGCTTGGTTTGCAGTGAAATGAGAAAATTTCACATAGGGAGAAAGTTCTTGAAGAATCTGAAACACACATAAAGCATTTGTGTGTGTAGAAAAAGAACCATGTTGCGGAAATTCATACACATTTTTACTTTTATAATACAAACCCTGAGTAAAGAAAGAAGCCAACCTGTTCAATAAACCATCACCATTTTCCAAAGATGAGGCATTGTTGAGTTTCTCAATTATGTCTAAAGCAAGTGTCCAATTTTGTGCCTCAACAGCTTCAGCTCCTGTTAGCAAGAGATCAACCAAACTAGTCTCTTCCATTAGCTCTGCTTGAATTCCCTTTAAAGAAGAATCCCCTTGTTCCATTGGAACTTGCACATTTTCCTCAATATTAAGGGTGAATCCATGACACATTTCAGTTTCTAGATCCACTGTAGTAGCATAATCATTCATGAAACCATAGTCTTGTTTGGTTGTGAGCAATCCTTCCATGGACTCTAGATCAAACATTTCATCCAAGATAGTGTTTGATGATAAGAAATCTTCTGTTTGAAATGAAAATGCATTTTCTGAGATATAATCATAATCATGGAGATGATTCATATGAGGAGGGCCAAATGAGTAATCAAAATGCTCATAATCCATCGCATTCATCGATGGTGAATAAATAAAAATACAAATAAAAATGGCTTAAGGTACACTTGGTAGAAACTTAACTTGAGTACTCTTATATATAGCCAACCTAGCCTTGAATTCAAAATGATTAAACAAGTAGATAATTTTGAATTCTAAAACAATGTATTAAATTATGATGTGTATTGAAAGTTGACAAAACTACTTTCTAGAAGTAGCTTAAGTGGTAGGAATGGAGTAAGATTAGCATTATTTGCCTAGTAGGAAAGACATCTTAATGCTGTAATGTCTATAGTAACCAATGAAAATAATTACTCTCAAATACTACCTTTGAAAGTTGAAATCATTAACCCAAAATTCGTGTGTGGATAAATATGTATGTGAATATATGAGAAAAATGTATGTATCTGTTAGAAAATAATAAAAATATCTATCTCATAATATGTTAATATTGATAATCTTTTTATATTTTATATCTTTTCATATTAATTTATATTGGGAGTGTAATAAACAATTTATAATCCTATCAAAAATCTTGAAAAAGGTTGATAATTAAGTCTCAAGAATAATTTTAAAATAATTTTTAATTACGTAAAAAATAAAAGAAACTTAGCAATATACATGAAATTTGAAGAATCCCAATACACAAACCTCCCACCTTACAATTTTTCTTAGGTCATGGCAACTGTCACTAAATTAATGACTGATTAACCCGCATTTTGTTTTCTGCAGGATCTCGTCCCTTAAAATTTATTTTAAACTTAGTAAAACGTTAATTTAGTATATGATTAAATAAAGTCTAATGTTAAGATGCTAACATGCACCCTCACACCCCCCTACAGTATTTTTACAATAACAATTTGCTAGGGATCTTCAACCAACTAGTTACTAAATTTATTGTTAATTAGTGGAAGTGGAACCGTGGTCCATCATACAGATAACATTTGCAAACATGCGTAATATGTAAGAACAATATTCAATATAATCATATAGAAACATGCAACTATTCTGTAATCTGCATCACAAGTGTCTGGAAAGAATATACGACACGTGGATTAGGAACGTTGGTCAGAGTGAGTCCAATCAAAACTACGCAAAACAAAACAATAATTTGAGCTGTAATGGAAAGGCAACAAAAGATGATGAATTTATCAAAGCAGTTAACAATTCACTCTTTGGACATTTTGAAAATTTTGAATGGAAAGTTGCAAAATATCAAATGAAGATTTTCAGTATATTCCTTGTACCTTTATTTCTTAACGATTAGTTTATTGCTGTGGTGTTGTTGTTTCCTCTAATTTGTTTGATGAGTCCAAAACGAGATACTGAGGCTACGCAATGCTAAAAAGTAGTACAAATCCTTGATTAAAAACCCACAACCAGAGTTAAGACTATAGGATCAATGGGATGTTACTAATTAAATATAGATTTAAACATGTTTCAAGTCATTGTGAAATAAGTGTATTTTAATTTTAGTTTTTTATAAATAGATTCTTTATTTTTTAACACTCTAAAATTTGGAATCATTATTTTTAGTTCTTAAAAAATAAGTAAATTTTAGTTTTAATCTCTATAAAATATTTTTCTTTGATAAGTACAAGAATAGTTAACAATGATCACAAAATATTAAGGATTAAAAATAATAATTTTTATTTTTGAAGGATGAAAAATAAAAAAATATAAGAATCAAAATTAAAAATTTCTCATTTTATTGGAACTAGAAATATATTTAAATCTTAAACATAATTACTTATGCAAATTGGTGAGCATGAATGTCGTTGGTGTAGTTGGCTACCTTTGTTTTGATCTCTTGGGACCTCGGGTTTATTTATAAGTTTAGTGTTTGGACAATTTTTTTAAGAAATATTTTTTGGAGAAAAAATTATGAAATAAATTTTTCTAAAATGTAAAATTAGCTTATGAATAAATTGAACTATATGTGCTGGTACATGAAGTTGGAGTTATTTTAATTTCTATCAATAAAAAAAAATTATGCATAAGTTAAAAGTAAGTTTCTGGAGAAGGTAATATATGAAAAATTCTACTAATTAACTTATTATAAGCTAGCTAATTTTAGCTTATGAAAAAATTGATCTCATTTTTTCTTCTCATAAGTGATCTTGAAATAATTTATCCAAACATGCTCTCAGTCCTTTTATTACTGTTGATGCGTAATTTTGGATCTTTAATGTTTGCAAAATGACCTTAGTTGATTGGTAAAAAAAAACGTGATAAAAGGAAATAGAAGTAATAAAAGAGATTAACTATGATAATTAAAAAAGTAATAATAAATTACATTAATAAAAATTATATCTTAAAAGATTAAAATCACACATCAAATACCAATGTTGAATTGTTAGTGATTTTTTATGATCTATCTCTAGTTCAACAGAGTGATTTTTTTAAAATATAATGTGTGAATTAGATTCATATATGACCATTTCTCTTATCAATGAGAGAGTTACACAGTCTTACCTTTATACTTTTTTAATTTTTAAAATCAAAGATTTTTCAGATTTATCACGAAGTCTTTTTTTCATCATATTTACTGTAAAGGAAATAAAATAATTGACTTTTGCTAGTATTGGAAATATTTTATTCGACACTTTAGTCTTGTAGGGTTCTTACCCTGTTCATATGTCTTGTGTCTATTGTAGGAGAATATGATAAGTGTTTGGATTTAAGAGGTAGTTTGTTTGTTTTCCCTTCTATTTTTCCACTATTTTTTTTCTTTTAAAAAGAGTTTGTCAGCAGCACATGCACTTGTGCATAATTTTGAGGAGACTTGATCATTACCAGATTCTTACCCTCAGCTTCTCTTTGGAATAAATTAACTACATACAGATAGAATTATGGCATTTAGTTAACTTGCTTATGATTCGTTTTCTGTGATGTACATTGGCCATCCCAGACTTTAATTTTGGTAACAGGAGAGGACAAACCCCTGAGCCGTAAGCCAATTCGCCATCATATATTACTATCGAAATGCGAATATTCTCTTCCTTTAAAGAAGTGGGTGGTCGATATCTTTAAATTATAATCGATCCACTGATATTTAATCGTAGATGTTTGCAATTGTCCTTATAACATACATTATTTTCTTCTTGCCACACTTTCCATGCATTATAGCTTGCAATAGCATGCTATCAGCTATTACTGAATTCATCATCATTAGCTCCTCAAGTAATTCTTAATCTCTTAAGTTGACGTTAGTAATGCATCCAAACAGTGCCCACAAAAATAATTGAGTCCAATGTATGTACATTTTGTCCACTTCTGCCTTGTAGTTATTTGCTTCCTTCTTGTCATGCTTTATCCCATGCATCATCTTTTAGACTAAATGATGTCGCTATTTTTTAAGTGGCATCGATTTTAATAACATATAGAGGATGTAATTTTGTACTTGAGCTTAAGTCATTAGATATGTAAATTTGTGTTAACAAGTTTATACTTAAAAAGAGGTTTATATGTATGAAGAACCTGTAGATTGTATATAAAGTCAAAACCGAATGTGTTTATATGATCCTATACACTTTCTAGATAAACTCAATAATAAGATTAAACTCTCCTTCCTCTTATCCACCACAACTAATTAGTTTTGTATGCACAATAATCGATTACGAAATTATTTAACAATTTTTTATTTAAAATACAATTCCTTGAATACCTCCCGGCTCCCTCAAAAAGAAGTATTCAATATGCGCCGTTAAGCTAAAAAAAAAAAAAAAGAAAAAAAAAAACAGAAGTGTGATTCAGAAATATTTTTCAGTATTATATGCATGGAATGTGACATTTGCAACTATAACTTGAGTGGGACCTTTTCTCGTTAAATATATTATGGTAAAATATGATACATCAATAATGATTCCATTAATTTATGAAATAAGATGGAAAAAGATGTCACATCATTACGTCCCCAGTAGCCTAATATGAACAAATTGGCATAAAATTAAAGACGTAGGTTTTGGTTGTTGGTGGCTCGAATATATTAATATATTAACGTTGAAAATGAAAAATCATAGAAGCAGACAAAGAAAGGGGTTCGTAGTTGTACTTTGAGAATAGTTAGCCTTGGATGTAATGGTCACATCATGCACCTTCCTAATATTTGGGCATGGTGGTGCAGTTATCTTCTTTCTATGGCTCCACAATTATAAGCTAACGGTGATTTTTTAAATATATTTTTTTATCTTTATAAGATGAATGAGTTTTATTACGATTCTTGCAATTTTTTCTTTTCTTTTAATCTTTTTAAATTTGTTAACATTATTTTTTTATTTATGCTAAATGATTAAAAATTAATTTTAGTCTCTGTAAAATATTTTTATTTAATTTTCATCTTTTAAAATTCAAAATCACTATTTTTTTTACTTTAATAATTATTTTAAAGTATATAAATTTTATTTTTTAAAGATCTATAAGTTTTTTTAAACGTGTAATACATCAACAAAATATCACATATAGTTGTTGGTATTACTTGTGATAATCATTTGATTTTATAATAAATACATAAGTACTTAAAAATGATCATATGATAATAAAGACTAAAAATATGTTTTCAAATTTAATAAGGATGAAAAATAAATATTTTTAAAAAAAATCAAAATCAAATTCATTTTTGCAAAGACTAGAAGCATATTTGTGTTTTTTTTAATGCGAATTTAAATTTTCATGAGGTCACTTTTTTTAATGAACAACCCTCCTCCAAATAAATCTCTTAACATGGTTGAATAGTTACAACTCGTAGCAACTGAGTGAAATTATTTGCAGTGAATTATCTAGGTTGACAATCTTAATATCTTATTGATTTTTATTTGATAATATTGAAGATATCTCCCTATTTTTCACTTTTATTCACCATTTTCTAAATTAAAAGTCATAACTCAATTTTATTTTTTAAGCTAAATATTGAACTTAATTAGTCAAGTTTGCATGTCTTATACTTTTAGGATTTATGAAAATTAATGTTTTAAAACTTAAAAAAGAAAAATTAAAGAGTAAATTACATTTTCCTTTCTCATGCAATACAAAAATTTCATTATTCTTTCCTCTTGTGTTAAAGTATTCATTATCCTCTTATAACATATTGCAATATATAATATTTTATTCCATTTATATTTTTTTTATATAGTTTTGTTAAAAAAAATGAGCAAGTGCATAAATCGGTAAATATTATTTCAAATTAATCAATGATCTTGAATTCAAATTTTGGATATCTAATCATATTAAATACTCAAAGAAAAAGTTTTGTGATTAAAGAGAGAAATTTATTTTTTAATAGTGATCTTAACCAGCTAAAACAAAATTATCTCTAATGAACACACGTGGTATATATCCACAAAATTGAACAAAATGAAATATTGTTTTTAGATTTGTTACAGTTATGCCTTCATTTAAAGTAATAAAATATATTTTCTTTTTAATTAAATTACATGCCTACATTTTAAGATATATATTTACATTTTTTAATATATATATATATATATATATAGTTTTAATTTTT